GGGGGGGATCAGTATAGAGCCTAGTTACGGGGCTTGATTCCCGACTGGACCAGAGTTCATTCTCTTCGCGTCACATCCAGATTGGTTTGAAGCCCATTTAACCTCGTGTTCTGAGTAATGGGGCTCATTCCCAAGGGGGAAAAGCATCTAGGGAATAAATATGACCAATCATCCCACCAATCGAGTAACACTGTTAAGAATACGTAGAGCTGTTTCTTCACTCCCGCCTCGCGAAGCGTGATTAATAAACACGGACAAATTTATCATAACGGCGAGGGGGCCATGTTGTCACCTACGTAAACCACTCAAAGGATTTCAATTACAGTGAGTATTGAAATCTCGTTCTAAATACTGCCATATGAATTCTGTGTCTGCCTTATCTGTCCGTTAGGCTTATAACAATTTCTTTACATAACGCCCATATCGAATTTCAAAAATATTTCGTAAGCAGTTCGTGGTACATAGTTAATTTAAAAATCGCGGGTGTCCAACAACGAAATGGAGTAGATTTAGGCTAATCCTTTAACCAAAAGAGACCAAGCGCTTTATCAGTGATCATAGCCTAATCACACAATATAGGACTATCCACGATGGCGGTATATGATCCAGTAATTGGTCATCCCTTCCGCATAGCGTATGCTGTTACTCCCAGACATCCTGAAAACATAGTTTACATATAAGACCATATAACGGATATATTTCAGAGTTGAAAGACAGTTAGAGGTCTCAAGTATGACGTAGGCTATACGTCATGAAGTGTAGTTGTCAATCAAACAGATTATTATCATTTTCTTTGTAAAGAGTTTCTCGTAGCTATGTGATACTGGCTCGATTAAATCCTCCTCCCCCATGGCGCCTCGTAACCAGGCAACGGGCTACACAGATCAATAAAATGTACCGCCCAAACTTTCTTTGCACGAGAACCGTAAAGGGAGTTTTCGCTGTTCTATGGAAAAGCATAACTAGCTGGTAATAAGCAAACGTCTATTCTCACATTGTTAACAGAGTGTTGGGCAAATGTAGACTTTTATAAATATACAAGCTTTCAGTCGTCAAATAGCACCTTTTCGGTGAAGGTGTTTGCTAGTTTGGTTTGTGGGTTATTTAACCCTTTAAAGCTGTTTGTCTACGTATTTCTCCATTACAAAGATCATCTGGTTAATGTTGTTCAAGGAAACAATCGATGTTTAGTCTCAGAATTACATAAATACAAAATACAGTGTCATTGGTCGTTAAAACAGATGGTACATGTAGTTGTCATTTGTTTTTAAATGAGGATGATAAGCAAAGGAAATATGCGAAGAGGAAATGGTTTAAATCAGTGGTTTTCATCCTGGGGTACGCGTACCCCCGGGTGTACGCGAAGACATCTTAGGGGGTACGTGAAATTTAAAAAACTATATTATTTTATGATAAACACTGAATAATCAGTAATGTAATTTATTTAATTTATTTTAGATGTAGATTATATACTATGTATAACTTGAATTATACACCAACAACTTTGGGGGTACACAGTTGAAGATAAATTATATCTGAGGGTACGCGAACAAAGAAGGTTGAATACCACTGGTCTAAATAACATGAAAGGTCAGAGATAGGAAATAAGGAACTACCCTGGGCCAGGTGATGTGCTGAAAGGGACAGTGTGATTATGGTTCTTATGTTTCAAATTGTTTCCTCGTGCGCCCTGATGATGGAGACAGCAATGACCTCTGAAAAATTGGTAAACTTCTACCAGACGGCGCAATAACTCAAAAGATTGCCATCTCCATGCCCCCGTCATGACATCTGAAATAATTGTTTGTGTGACATTATTACCCTAATTAAAAGAATTTGCAATGTAAATTACTGATACGATAACGGATGTGTAAATGTCTCTTGTACATTCTGATAAGAGTCAGAAAGTATCTAGCTTATGAGGGCGCTTAAGTTTCTGGATAATTAACAATGTGGCGAGGCAACATTGCAATACGTTCTATGCAATTGAACAATCCCGTTTTTCGTCATTATAATCATTCAACTTCAAAAGCTACTCCCCGTTCTCAAGAAACGTCGCTAAGTGAATGTTTCTCGAGATTTGGACAAAGAATCGGCCCGTTTAAGGGCCTGTAACTACACCGGGCAACATAACACTGAAAAGCGGGCATACATCACACACATCAGTTCTTAAAACAAACCCAAGACGGGACAAGCAGCCATACCTTTCTGAACACACTTCAACCAGACCTACATTAACACATATGTTGTCTTCATACGTGTCTCGCTCAGCTTCACAATTTTCACAGAAAGGAGATATTCCTTTGTCGATGAGTTTCATGATTTTCCCACACGAATTGATACACTGTTGAATGTTCAAGTTATTTACAGTTATGTACAGCAGTTCTTATGGGAGAATTGTTTCTGTCCATCTACTTCTTGATTCGTCTAGTGGACTGTCGACGTAACCGATCGAATGACCACCGTCAGGCTGTCACATCTTTCAGATCCTGAAGCGCATGTCAGATTTTGATTTCATTTGGAATTGAACACTCATTAAAACATGTCGACTGGTTATAACGTCACTACCTTGAGTTCTGCATAATCTTTTATGTATACACCGATCCCTTCAAAGTATACCGAACTGATAATTGCTCTGTTTACACAATAAATAGATCAATGACTTTATGGTTGAAACATTTTCTGTACTGTCTACCCAAAACCTAATTTAGAGGAAGGCGTGTCGTATATTTTAACCGCCCCTGAAATGTCTGGGGAGACCAAACAAATGTTTATGTGGATTGAAAGTTAGTTTGTAAACAAAGAACTGGTATTTTAAACGACGAGCTTTAAATCAACAGTAAAGTTGATATATTGTATTCTGTTGCTGCAGCTTGTAAGTCCAAGTATTGTCCTCTTTCATCCTACCCTCTATTATTATTATTATTATTATTATTATTTAGTGTTCTGTCTGACGACAGGTCCATTCTTCTGCCCAAAAAGAGTTCGCCAGTTTTCCCTATTCTCAGGTTCTCGTTTTAATTCCTGAAACTTCATCTTCTTTCCTTATCGTCAGTTAGCTGTATTCCTACCCTCTACCGTCTGATAAAGTTGAATGAAGATAAGAATTTTCAAATTATTTTACTAAAATATTTGTAATAAAATGAATTTTTATTAATATATTTTAAAACAGCATTTAACATATTTTCAGCATAGTACTAGATTTATTTCATTCTCGTCTTTTAGATACAGCATTATAAATCTTGAAACGTAACTTTTTTGCTAACACAAAAAACATTTCGGCGTTTACATGTTTTGTAAATAACTCCCAAGACCGAACGGTTTTGAAAAATGGTTGAATGTCTGAAAAGCTCTGTGTCCACATTAGTCTGATGGTCCGTCAAACATTTCAAGATATTTGTTGAATAATAATGTCCACAAGAGTGTGCTGTAATAGCAAATAGTTCTACCTGCAACTTTTTTCATAGTCTGGATAAAAATGTGAAATGACAGTCGAGTGTAATACATTTTCACTTACCCACAGATTATAAAAATATTGTGTTGAATCGTCTGAACTCCTGATCTGTGCCGACGACCTCTGGTAACTATGACGTCCATATCGTGTTTGGCATCTCGCTCTGCGCCTACTGACCGAAGTCAGGACGGCGACTGCGCGACGGAACGACATGCGACCCTAAAATTGGGAGAATCGATAAGTAAATTAATAATTCCCCTCGCTTGAGTTTCACGACATATGCGCAGGTAAATATCGCAAAGTTATGAGGTTACTCATTCGTTGTTGCATGATTTATAGGAAAGGAATAAACTCTCCGCCAGACTTTATTCTGGGTGGAACGTTCCTTTGAAATTAGTTTAATGATTATGACGTCATCATATGGTGGGTTAGACACTTGCCTCCATGTAACCAAAACAGGCGATTTATTTGTTTAAATTTTTGCTTATTTAACGACGCTGTCAGTAGCACGAACTGTGTATCGGTCAATAGAAGAATGATAATGAAAAATAAATTGGATATTATATGGAAGTAAGCGGTAGTGGCCTAATGTAAGATACTATTCCAGAATTTACCTGGAGGTTAATGAGAGACTTTACAATAACCTGCATTCAAGATGGCTGGTTTTCAAGCCAATAGTTTAACCTGTAGCCTACTAAATACGAAGCAGACCTATATTAGGTCCATAGAGTACACGCTGCGCAAGTCTCAGCAGTGATTTTTGAACAATGACAATAGTATTACCGCCCCTCAAATATTTCCCCCTTGCATATAGTCAGTCGTGTGCGCTGAAGTTCACTTTCTTTCCCCAATCTTAGATGATTTGCGACATTCCAATTGACAGAGATAATTTCTGCGAGTTAAATTTGTCTGTTAATCCACGATTCAATTGTCTTTTATTCCAGACTGCAGGACAGGGCCGTAATATAAAGGTAGTTAATTGTCCTGCGAAAAAGTGGAAAAAGTTCA